TTCATTTTTTATGCTAGGTGCGAGATGATGATGAAACGATGGATGAAGATGAAAAATTTAAACCTGTAGTCGGTAATGATAAGGTCATCAATTTGCTTTATTCTTTAGAAAATTGTTACACTATTTTAACTGCAGTTCAAGATTTTAGTTTTATATTGTACATTGCTGGCCTTTTGCCTTTAGAAGTGTGATTATTATGCAGAAAGGTGATTTCCTTTTTGTTTATGCTAGCAGATTGAAACTAGTTGGCAATCCAGTTTGGGGAAGTTGAATGAAAATAATGAATCATATTGGACTGATTACAAAGGAGAAATAAATGGTGATGAATCACAACAGGTTGAATGCTTAAACAAAAAGGGCAAGGATATTGAAAGTAATTTATCAGAATCCGCTGGTCCGCAGACAGGCTGGAAGAAAAATGAATCAAGCTCTGAGGCAACAGCGTCTACATCAGAAAAAGACACAGTGCAGGCTAAGCCTAAAACTCTTTTTGTGAAAAGTCGTCAAGCGCTGAGTGGTCCACTCACACCTGGTTTTGTGCTTAGTCATTCATTATCAGAAAAGGTTCGCACCATTGAAAGGTTTGTCATGGTTGAGTAATGCTCCAGAATTTAAGCTTTTGGTTTCATCTCTCGCTCTCTCTTGTGGGATATGTTCCTGATGCTTTGATAACTTCAGGAGTGAGAATGAAAATCAACCGATAATTGATAAAGGTAAATGCGAAGTACGACGAACACCAAGCTTTAGTGGTCCACTGATGCTTCCCAATCGAGCTTCAGCAAACAGTTTATCAGCTCCTATAAAATCCTCTGGAGGTAATGAGTATTTTCATAATGTTTTTAAAGATGAAAATCAACAGTGCAACTTTTTCAATCGTTATGTGCCCAATTGCTTGGAATTCTTATAGCACTAATTGCTTTACCTTTTAATAGGATTTAGAGATTCTATGGATGACAAGTCAAAATCTAATTTGGTGCAAATTAAGGGGCGATTTTCAGTGACATCAGAAAATTTAGATCTTGTAAAGGTGAGGCTTTATTATTATGCTATGCTTATTCTATTTTTTACAATCACTAACTTTAAAAAAAATTGCCATAGGATATTCCATCGAGTACAGTACCTCATCATTCTTCACAGGTAGGTAGCTGGTTTTGCTTAAGCCTTCTCAAGTAAATGTTTTGAGTTCTAATTCATGTTCTGTTTTGTTATTTTAGGGATCACCTCTGAAAAAGTCTGCTAGCGTTGGTGATTGGGTATTTGAATCCAGGCAAATGGTTTGTTTGTGTTCTCTCTCTCTCTCTCTCTCTCTAATGGTTTTTATCAGAAATGTTCCTTGATGTTTCGTCAACTCTTAATTCTTGTCCATCTATTGACATGCTTGTCAATGTTGTCCCTCCATCACTGTTAAAAATCCGCAAGATTACTAACGTGGCGTGCATGTGGGGACCATTTATCCAATACCATGTATCAAAAATGCTGAATAAAACCCACAAAAAGTTAATAAAAAAACGAGTATAAAGATGTTAAAAAACTAAAACAAATCCCCCTTCCATCTCCGCCATTGCTACAGCACCCAACTAAACCGTCCTCCCCCTCCTCACCACCCCATTCCCTGACCCTCATTCCAAAACCAAAAACCCATATTTCTGGCTGCAACCCACCCCCATCCGTACACGCACACATACAACCAAAACCCGATTCTCCATCCCACGTCATCTGTGTCCAATAAATCTACCATCATATGTGAGCTCGATGGGGACGGTCATGGCGGTCAAGATCTCGACGGCTTTAATGACGGTCCAATAGGACTCTTGGGATGGGCCAGGTCATCGGAGGGTAGGGTGGTTTGGTGAACGGGTCATGTGTATTATTTTGGTTTTTTGTACTTATTAAAAATTAGATTTTTCATAATTTATAAACTTTTTTAACCATTTATTGTACCCACATGGCACTATCTCTTTGGATAAATGGTCCCCACATGCACGCCATGTGAGCAGACTAACAGAAATTTTAACGGAATCTGACAGAGGGACAACATCGATGAGCATGTCTATAAATGAACGAGCAAATTGAGGTTTTTGAAACCTAAAAGACTAGAATTAGGAGTTGGCAAAACATCAAGAACCATTTGTGATAAAAATCCTTAAATAAAAGAAGATTACTTTATGAGATCTGGATTCCATCCGTTAGATACTGAGTCAATGTAGCGAGCATGAACTTCATTCTCATCAATAACTTGGAGATCTAAGTTATATGTGTGCATATATTAATATTCTGAGTTCATGGGTGTATTTGATGAACAATACTAGATTGTGTCTATAGCTTTTTCCCCATTTTCTATATTCACTTAGCTCTTAAATAATTGTTACTTTATACTATGACGAGCATGTAGAAGGTTCAGTTACTGACTTTGCCTCTGCGGGTAGTTTGAAATCTTATTTGTCCTTCATTTATGTGATTTCATTCTTTATGTTTCAGCCTGCCGTGTCACCAAAGGAGTTCAACAACAGCAACGTACCTGCATCACTTCTCCTGCCTCACCTTCAGAATCTTTTTCAACAGACGTCGGTTCAACAGGTAAAAGAGCAAATCTGGTTCAACACAGATGGTGGATGGACTTGAAGAATTGATTCAAAACTTCAGCTTTCAAATTTAGTGCAAATTTGTTTATTCTTTTAATTACAGGATATTATTACGAATTTGCTAAGCAGCTTGCAACCAGCTGAGGCAGTAGAAGGTGAGTGAAATATCTGTGGGAGTATAATACTAGATATAAGTTTTGTATCAGTAAAGATTTATTGAACCAGTTAGTAAGGTACTCCTTTTCTTATTTCAGCTACTCAAAATGGAAAGTTACCTCCACTGCCTCCCTGTTCTGAGAACAATGGAAATGTACGTATATTTTATTTTGTCCCAGTTCTGATATAAAGATATCTTATCATATTAGCTTCTCAGCAGTTTCCCTTTGGTATTTTTTTCTTTTCCAAATGGTAGATTTCTTGATTGTTTTCTTTCTATCAACTTTGACTGATTGATAAAACTTCCCTCAACCTTGACTGAAATTTGTTGTTAAATCAGTTAAGTGGTCTTTTGCTTGCTAGATGAATTAATTTGATACGGGGCTTTTCGGAAATATTATGGTGGTCGCTTTACTCTATTGCATTGCATGTTAAAAACTCTGTTAGACTTGTATATCAACGGTTAGTCAATGATTAGCTTTGTACATTTTATAACATTCTCTAATTTGTCTGACCAACAGGTTGAAACCGCAGTTTCTGAGAGGGAGCGTTTATTGCTCATCAAAGTATCGGAGCTTCAAGCCAGGTTAGTTATCCCAAGTCTAAATTGAGTACTGCGGAAGTGTTTTTTTTTTTTTATCTTTTATTTTTTTTCCTGCTTTTATACAAGTTTGGCTGATGTTTCTCTCTTTCCAGAATGAACAACTTGAGTGATGAACTGACCGCCGAAAAGACAAGACACGTTCAAGTGAGTTGCCAAAGACTTCTTATTAACAGTATTATGAGTGGGAAGTGTTGATGGTGATGGGTTTCTGTGTGTATCCCGCTATTTGCGTGCATTTATGATAGCATTAACAAGTTGGTTACCGCTTGACAGTTGCAACAACAGCTAAATGCTGTATCTGGGCAAGAGAACGGAGAAAGAAGTTGAGGCTGCGTGACCCAAAGTTGTGATTAGTGTAAAGTGAATCCATGATGTACATCCGGCCAAGAGCTGTAGACGTGCTGAACGCGTTCTCCAACGAATTTTCCTCTTTGCTGAACGGGAATCATTTATGGCTGCCGATAGAAGTAAATGCATCGAGAGAAATTGATGTTCCCAGATCTCCTTCTTCCACTGTACGTAATAAGTTTCCTTCCTCACCACTTGGGAATTCAGACGAGCAATACACAGTTTACGGATTCATCAGGATGTGATTTGTCCGGATCGAAAACGGTAACTTATGTCCTTCCCTGTAGTGAAGATCGAACTTCTGGGCTGGCGGTCAAATTGGTTTTATAGTTATAGGCTTGCAGCCATGAGTAGCCATGAAATATAAGGAAAAGAGAGGTTTTTATATATGTTTTATTTTATATGTATATCGTTTTTGGTCAACACAGATTTTATGAGTTTGTATATGATGGCTGTAGAACACAATGTTGTTTATTTATTATTTCATTGTTTATACTAAATCTGCTTCCACAAATCTTTAGCAATTAGCAATTAGCAATTAGCAATTTGGTATTTAATATACTTTTTTTTCTTTTTGTTCATAGTTATTGGGATTTCCTAAACCTTATTGGATTAGAAATTTTATAAAGAATTAATGAGGTGATTTTATAGGTTTTTTTTTTCTTTTAACTTGAAAATGTTGAGATTTGTCATCGCAGGCTAACTTTTTGAATAGGAGCTGCTTATGAGCTCTACTAATCGAACATATCAAACGTTCAAGTTTGAGTAACGGGATCCTCTTTGTTCATCGTATATATCATAAATTATTGTATTTTTTTATTTAAAATTGAAAATAAACAGTATCTTACGAAAATTGATTTCACAATGTACGATAAAATGAAATGATTGGAGGATCTTCGGAATCCTCACCAAGAGAAAACATATCAAATGTTCAAGTTTGGTTGAGGTATTTGTTGATTTGTCCCCTAAACTGATATGGAGCTGCTAATTTTTTTCCTAACCTTTTATTTTAGCTGATTACCCCATTGAACTTTTATAATTCCTGACGTTAGATTTTAAAAGTTTTCATCCAATTTTTTATTCATCTTGATCATAGAAACAAAACATAACAATTGTATGAAGGCAAAAATGATAAAAAATTGGATGGATGAAAGATTGAACGTAGGCTTGAGAGTTTAACTCCACGCATGTTTAAGGTGCAAATCAACAAATATGCCAATTTGGTTTCTATTTTATCAAGATGAACTGTAAACTTGACAGTTCAAAGTCAATTTTCATGACAACTTTATAAAATAATTTAAAAAATATATATGAGGGCTCTCTTTAGCATCTCTCTTTCCCAGAACGCGCGAGAGTCGAGGTGGCTGCCACTCAGGCTCAGCTGTGCAGTAATCTCCGATTACATTGGCAGGAATCCAGTGCAGTGCGCCTCACATGTTACGCTAACCTCTCCCGAACCCAAGCAAAACCCATGGCTGCCGCAATCCACTGCTCCTCGGCTCTCCACTCCCTAAAACCGCCGCCGCTTCCTCCTCAGCTCTCTAGCCTCAGACCGTCTCTCCTCTCTGCCAACAAACACCCAAACCGGAGGAAGAACAATAACCTCTCCGGATACAGACTCTGCAGAGCGGAGTTCTCAAACGACGCGCCGTTCGCCGCCGCCATCGGCGCCTGCATGCTCTCGTCCCTGGTGCTTCCTGTCAGCACTCCCGACGACGATGACAGTGGGGGTTCGCCGATGGATTCCACCGATGCCAGGTTTGCCGTCATGGGCATCGTCAGCTTCATTCCCTACTTCAATTGGCTGGTAAAACCAAAAACAATCCACTTTTCTCTCAAATTATTGATCCTTTTTATCATTTATGTATTTTTCTTTCAAATTTTTGAACTTTTTGTTTATTTTTATTGGGTTTGTTTTAATTTTTGTTTGGTTGCAATGAATAATTGTAGAGTTGGATTTTTGCTTGGCTGGATACCGGAAAACGGCGGTATGCGGTGTATGCGCTTGTGTACTTGGTTCCCTACCTGAGGTAGGCGATGAAGATTGTTGCTTAATTGAATGCTTTTGATTTTGATTATCTGAGCACTTGCATACTTGTTGAGCTTATGCTTGTAGTTTTCGATTTTCGAAGAATGAGGTAAATGTGTCGTGTGATTGCTTGATTTTCCGATGATTTGTTAGGACGAATTTGTCGCTGTCGCCTGAGGAGAGCTGGCTGCCTGTTGCTAGCATCGTTTTCTGCATTATTCATGTCCAGGTATGAGTCCTCAATTATGCTCTCCACCCGGTTCATCATTTATCGCTTATATTGGGGTCGAATAGAGTTCATGTTTTTAATCTCTTAACGGAACATTTTCAAATGAGCGGTGAATGTTGCTAGAATGGAAATGAAGTATATTGCCAGGCAAGGTACAGAATCTCTAGACTAATGGTTTTGAGGCATTTCGATTGTGAGTTCATTCAGTCGTTTGTAAATCATGTAATCGTAATCTTGTGATTCCACATTTTCGCCCTTGTAGCTGGAAGCAAGTATTAAAAATGGAGATCTTCAGGGCTTTCAACTCTTTAAGGAGGCTGCAAAGCATCTCTCGTCAACGGCTAGAAGGAAAGATCATCAGAGTGGGTATCAAGGAACCTCTGAGGAGGTATTAATTACTTTGGGTCTCTTAACAGTTTTTAAGAATTCTAGATAGATTTTGTGTCCTTATCTTATATAGGCTGTAATCGCTTTTATGTCCTATGAAGGGGAAGAACAGGGAGAATAACAACCTTCCATCCAGTGAAGAACAATCGAGAAACGGGATTGATGACTGGGGACTTCCCAAGAGGCCCTTACAAGATCATGAGGGCGCCAATGAAGATTGGGAAAAAAATGAAAGGAGGAAACATTAGAAGGTCAGAGTTGGATGCAAGCAATTTCTATTTGAAAACGCAGCCGTTGCACCCAGACAAAGTACTATGAATGTTTGATAGTCATCTTTTACTAAATAAAGTACTATGAGTCGTGATAGATACCATACACAGAATGTAGTCCGATATCACTATCTGCACACTGATATGAATTAGAACATGTTGATGAAGATGAATTCACATGTAGAGTGTAGAATCCATTTCGACACCATTGATATGAATTTGTTTATCGATTAAGTTATTTTGTTTTACGAAATGAGAGATGAAGATGAAATACAAGATCGCGAACTAATCATTTTATTTGTTATTAACTCCTGATATAAAGCTCAAAGTATCATTGTTTCTCAAAAGTATGAACATCGTTTGGTTAATTGGCTCCTGATACAGATTTCTGGATAGGAAAAGGACTCAATAGCCCTGTCTTAAAACAATAATCCAGAGCAACAGCAGCAGAAAGAAAAATAAAAAGACTCTGAGACACGTAAATCGCGCCATCAAAAGCATGTGTAAAGAAGCTACTGGCATTCAGTTCCAAAGGCTGTCCGCCATCCAGTGTAGCAAGCCCTTTGACAACTCCGAATGCTGCAGGCGCTCCGGTCTTGAGATGAGCATCGTCCAAGTCTCTTCGTATTGTGTATCGGAAGGTGACTCCGAATAGAGCGCAGCTAGCGAAGGTGACTCCCAGAGGGAGGATCAGCTCAGAAATGCTTGCCACCTGAGTGAAGGAGAAGGGCAATGCAGCAATAGTGCCGGCTAGGGCGGAAACTGAAGCTGCTTTTATGGATTGCCATCTCTCTTTACCCTTGTCGATTTCCTTATTTTCGGTCGCTGCAAAAGCATATCCGCCACCGAGTTGATCCCCGCCTTGTGAGACGGCACGTTCAGCTTCTTCAACCATGGATTTTGCTTCTGATATCTCCTTTTGACATTCTGCAATCTTCAATGCAAACAGAGTCGATAATCTTAGCAGGAGAAGATGCCCGACAACATATAATATGTCAACTATCGTTGTATTTGAACAAAAATTATAGTTAGAAACCAAAAAAAAAAAATATTCTTAACACAACAGAAGCAAATGACAAATCAATGTTTTCAACAAATGAACTGACCATTTCACTTTCAAATTACACAAAAAACCGAATGGGAGCTGGTATCGACACTCCAAAATAGTCCATCCCGATAAGAAGATAAGGCGGATAAAGTGCTTAATGACTATTTTGAAGTGCTAATAACAATTCTCAATAGAAAAAACTTCAAGGAGATAGGAAAAGGCACCTAAAACAAAAACCCAGAAAATGAATCAAAAGTTGGGAACTGTGAAGATTTAGAACCTCAGAAGCTCTGCTTTCTAGTTGAGCAATGTAATCCCTCACGAGCTTGGCCTCAAGTTCCTGCCTTTCAATCTCAGCCAGCTCTCTCTTAGCAATCTCAACTCTCTGAGACGCCTTTTCCAACCCATCGAGCAACTCCCTGTTCTCTTCTCTTTTCAAGAGCTCCTCCACTTGCTCTCCCACAATGCCACTCAGTGCCTTATTCAAGCCGCCGCCCTCTCCGGCAGAGCCGCCAGTCGTGCATTTTGCTATGAGGGGTCGATGAGGTGGGGAAGGATTAGCAGCGCGGGGGAAGAAGATCGCAGAGGAGGATTCAGATGGGGTGAGGAGTTTTGAGGGGAGGAGATGCGATGTGGGATTTGTGGAGGGAGCCCAAGTGAGCTTGATAGTTAAGGGCATGGTGGTCGGAGGATTTTGTTATCCTATTTCATGTTTTGTTTGAGAAAGTACTGACCAGTGACCACCACTCACCCCCAACTTCTATTTGCAAAGTTGCAACTTGCTGAAGGCAAGAGGTAAAACAAAAACTTACGGCATGGCTACTTATTTGAAAACGGGGAAGGCAAAGGTCATGCAATGCAAATGGTTAAGAGTTTTTATTTATATATTCGAGATCTTGAGTTTGAATCATTTTATCGTATTGTTTGATAAAAATTTGAAAAAGTTATGAATGAAAAATTGGAAATAATATGAGAAAAGAAACATAATTGGTATGACATGCCTGATTTTAACGTGAAGCCCACTTACTTTTTTCTTTCAAACGTGTCAGGAATAAGAATAATACACACCTTGCATTACCTATTTCTGATATTTGCATCTGCCCTTCTCACATACCAGTGATGCCTGGTTAGTGAACCAAAAACCAACAATGCCTCATTATTGACCTGGAGACGTTGCCTCCGTCCATCCTAGTGTGAGGTTTGACGGACGCATATGGTGGGCTATTTTTTTTATACAACGATATAATGTTAGCGAGGTTTGTGAGACCTTTTAGTTTAATGGTGGTGTTTGTGATGGCCTACTTAATGAAGAGAAATGTATTGAAATGCCAATAAACATCTAACACAAAATTCTCAAAAACTCATCTGTGAAGAAAAGCAGTTCTACTAGGTAAGCTAAATGTCACAGTCATTACCTCCTACGGTGGTGGCTATGCCTGTCCATCCTACGGGGATTGCTCTAGCCCCCTTCTCGCTTAACTTCGAAGTTCCTATGGAACTCAAAGCCAGCGGGCTCCCAAAAGGCCTCGTGCTAGGTAGGGATGAGAATATACATTTAAGGATCACTCCCCTGGGCGATGTGGGATGTTATAATCCACCCCCCTTAGGGGCCCGACGTCACACACGCGGCCAGGGTTAGGCTGTGATACCAAATTGTCACATCCCGGCCCGAGGCGGATCACTTCCTAGACCCGCTCCACCATCCTAGCACGATATTGTCTGCTTTGGGCTTACCATTCCCTCACGGTTTTGTTTTTGGGAATTCACGAGCAACTTTCCAATGGATCACCCATAATGGAATTGCTCTATCCCCCTTCTCACTTAACTTCAGAGTTCCTACGGAACCTGAAGCTAGTGAGCTCCCAAAAGGCCTTGTGCTAGGTAGAGATGAGAATATACGTAAAAGGATCACTCCCCTGGGCAATGTGGGATGTCACAGGTCACATGTAAAAGTTTACAAACATTTTTTAGATATTAATAACCTTAAAAATTAAATCATAGTTTCATCATTCATAATTTATAGAACAAATAATAATACAAATCACAATTGTCCACGACGCGTTTTTATATTTTGAAAATGTTGCATTATAACTTCATTATCAATAGATGAAAAAGCATTTACTCTCAATATAAACCACCGAACTATCACTCAACCATTGATCTCCTATTTGGTTATGCAAGGAACATTTCACAATATTTATAGGGGAAAATGCTCTCTCTACTGAAGCAGTTGCTACTGGTAGAACTAAGCCAATGTAATTATCAAATACACATATGTGACGATCATGTAATATTTAAAAAAAAATATAAAAGAAGAGCAACTCTTCTTTGAAGCTTTTTATCAAACAGTTGAAGGACATGTATGAGACAAAGTCCAACTTGGTGTTGCCCCTTGAAGGTTGGAGTTAGTCTTTGAGGCGTTTTCAAGTTTCTACGGAAAAACATCTCTACCTATGAACATACATGCTCTTTCCATTACCAAGTACCAAACGTAGTCTAACAATTAGAAGAATAAATTGGTATCGAATTTGTTATTCACCAAATTTAAACCTAATACCTCTTTACCAGTAATGAGAATTATCACTATATCAACACCAAATTTAAACCCAAGAAATATTACTCTACTGTAACATTAATTGGCACATGTTATATTCTTGGGTTAAGTACAAAAAACTACCTCAAGTATGGGTCAAATGACACTTTCATACCTCATCTTTTAAAATTGACAATGTCATACCTCATCTTACGAATTTGTGTCAATGTTATACCTTCTGTTAGTTTGGCCGTTTATTTCTCAGTTAAATGCTGACGTGGCTTGATCTGGGACCCATTTTTATTAAAAAATTAATAAAAAATTATTAAAAACAAAAAAAATCATTTAATATTATTTAAATAATAAAATAATAAAAAAAAGTACATAAAAAATAAAAAACAAACATCCATTATCTTCCCTCTCCTTTCGTGCATCTCCCCCTCTCTCTTTCCCATCATCTTCCCGCAACCCAGCAACCCAGAAAAGAAGAAGGAGAAAGAAGAAGAAGAAGAAGAGAAAAAAAAAAAAAAAAAAAAAAAAACAGCAGCAAACCCGTCCACTCCCACCCAACCCCCACCCCCCCCCAACCTAACCCGCAGAAGAAGAAGAAGAAGAAGAAGAGGGAAGCAGAAGAAGAGAGAAGAAAAAAAAAAAAAAAAAAAAAAAAAAAAAGCCCAGTTCGGTCCCCTGCAGAAGAAGAAGAAGAAGAAGAGGGAAAAAAAAAAAAAAAAAAAAAACCCCAGTTCGTCCCCCTGCAGAAGAAGAAGAAGAGAGAGGGGAAAAAAAAAAAAAAAAAAAAAAAAAGTCCCCAGTTCGTAACCTGCAGAAGAAGAAGAGGAAAAAAAAAAAAAAAAAAAAAAAACCCTAGTTCGTCCCCCTGCAGAAGAAGAAGAAGAGAGAAGGAAAAAAAAAAAAAAAAAAAAAAAGTCCCCAGTTCGTAACCTGCAGAAGAAGAAGAAGAGGAAAAAAAAAAAAAAAAAACAGCAGCAACCCAGTTCCCCCCCTCACACCCACCCTCTCCTCTCCACACCCATTCCCCCACCCCCCCCCTCTCCCCCCCCCGGACCCCCGCCGCCCATTTTCTCCTCGCCCAGGAGAATGGGTTTTTTTTTTTTTTTTTTTTTTTTTAGGGGTTGTAGATGGTGGGTGCGAGGTTGGGGTGCGAAGATTGGGTGTGTGGGTGTGGGAGAAGAGGGGGTGAGGAGCAAGGAAAACAAATTGATTTTTTTTTTTTTTCTCTTCTGTTTTTCTGGGTTGTAGTTGCAGAAAGGGGAAGATGAAGATGGGGAGAAGGGAGAGAGGGGGGGGGGGGGGAAAGGGAGATTGACGTTGGTTTTTTTTTTTTTTTTTTAAATAATTTTTTTTATTATTTTAATATTTAAATAATATTAAATGATTTTTTTTGTTTTTAATAATTTTTTTTATTAATTTTTTAATAAAAATGGGTCCCAGATCAAGCCACGTCAGCATTTAACTGAGAATAAACGGCCAAACTAACGGAAGGTATAACATTGACACAAATTCGTAAGATGAGGTATGACATTGTCAATTTTAAAAGATGAGGTATGAAAATGTCATTTGACCCATACTTGAGGTAGTTTTTTGTAATTAACCCTATATTCTTTAATTTCTATTACTTCATTTAGGTATGGAGCCTTGAAAAATGCATTCGACTATTTGACTTGGAATAGTATTCTCTACACACCATTTTTTATTAC